TGGGGGGGGGGGGAGGGCCTTCACCTGTTGCATCCATACCTGTTTCTCACCTGGCCTTTTGTTACTTAAGCGAGTTTCTGTGTTTAAGAGATGAAGGGAATTTCCTGTTTCTCTCCTTTCCTTTCTTCAAGATACAGCTCAGATAGAAAAGAGGCTTGGTCGCTGGGCTAAGCTCATCCTCTGCATCCAAGACAACTTTAAGTTAACTAACCCAACAATAAAGATAGAGCTAGTACTCCTAGTTGTGCTTCTTGCCTAGACTACCTTGCAGAGCTACCAACAAGCTAAAGAAATACGCTAACTCATTCAAGCAGATACAATATAGGGCAGGGTTCCTCAACCTTGGCAACTTTAAGACGGGTGGACTTCAACTTCCAGAATTCTGGGAGTTGAAGTCCACCCGTCTTAAAGTTGCCAAGGTTGCGGAACTGTGATATAGGGGACCAAACAGTGCAGCAACAGGATATAAATCTCATAAATCCATATGATCATTGTAAGAGAGGATGGTTTCAGTGGGGTCTCCAGCCCTGAGAGATTATTTTTGTGTCATCTACGTTCCCTGCCGTCATGAGTCATGTAAGCACCACGTCTCCCCCCTGCCTGCCATGCTATTTTGATACACAGCTTGCTGTCTTCCCATCTGTCCAACTCATCAGGGTCCCCAATCTTTCTAGCCACCGACGTGGCACATGAGACGAGACCGTTGAAGTTTATCTTGGTTTCCTATAGGTCTCTCTCTCTCTCCTTTCCTCTCCCAGCCGAACATTTTGCAAATGAAATCCACAATGTATTTGTCACATTGGCATTTTCAGACCTTATCAGCCCCAGTCTTGCCGAGCTGTTATGACTTCCAGAAAATCACATCTTTACTTTTGGAAAGAAGGGCTGTTATGCTGTTAATCAGAAAGGGCAAACAATACAATTCTTTACGTTAAAAATAATGGGAAAGTGCTCATGGAAACGGGTGGGGGGTCAAAGGCCATATTAAGAAGAGGCATTGTTTTCTTTTTTCTTTCTTTTTGAAGGGTTAAAGAAGGCCTCTTCTGCAATGCATGCTGCTATGAATTACGAGCAATGGTATTTTCCTTTAGACTGCTTACTTCTCTTCTGTTAAATGCTTGCTGATAGAAATATTATTAGATTTAATCTTCTTCTTCTTCTTCTTCTTCTTCTTCTTCTTCTTCTTCTTCTTCTTCTTCTTCTTCTTCTTCTTCTT